AGGTGGAAGAGTCAACACAAATTGCTTTAGTCTAGAAGACTCCATGTCCAGCTATAAAAGAAATTGGAATCAGTTGCATCTCACTGACACTTCCCAAACCATTCGCCAGTGACAAAGCCCAGGCAGCATTTTCCCATCTGTAGCACTACAGCACATTCAGGATGTCTCCTGGGTGACAAGAGTCTAGAAGATACCACAGCGTGTGGATGCAAACATCTAGAAAATGTCTGAAGAAACACAGAAACTGCTTAGCCTTGAAAAGAGAAAAGTTATCTTCACGTATATGAGGGCAGCTGAAAGGAGAGTGGAAATAAGCCCTTCTCCACATCCTGGATGTGGAGGGCAAGGAGGAGTAAGTATAAGTTGTAGCAGGGGAAAATTCAGATTGGAGTGGCTTTAACATTTCTAAGACTCAGAACAGCAAAGCAACAGATGGGATAGGGAGGAAGTTTTGGGGATCCCCTTGTGAAAGGAGTTCAAGCACAGCATCAGGGAATCAACATGTCAGGGATGGCAAAAGTAGCATTACTTATGTCTTGGGGCAGGAGGATGCCCTTGGTAGCTATTTGCTAATAATGGGAGATAAGGACCTTAAGCAGCCATTTCCCATGATTAGCAAATGGGCAGAGTTGAGTTCCTACTTGTACCAAAACCATTTCATTTGGCAGCATAAAGAGACCTAAAAGAACATCTGGGGGAAAAAAAATTAAAAAAATCAAGCATGCAGCTTGGCAGGTGGTAATAGTCAGAAAGCGTTCCCCATAGTCTTTAGAGGATTTATGAAGTACATCATCAGAGGGTGATTGTCTGTGTCACATATGGGAATACATCTACTTAGAAATGTTTAACTTTTCCATTTTGCAGTTGGAATAGCCCACCCAGCACTCAAAGCATAGGCACCATCTGACAAGCTTTTAATGGGAACCCAGTGAGCCCTCGGTTGTTTGGAAGTATGAATACTAAACTGAATTTCCCCAACTACATTTCTTGTCCTTTATGAAAAAATAATGAAATTTTTCAGTGAGTATTTATAGTACTTCATGAATTTGGGATGAGTACTAGCAAATGGTTTAAGAGCTAGCAGAACAATAGTAAATAAATGCATAAAGACTTGGACTTAACCTTTTGATGTGATAGTTTCTCCTCCCTTGATTCTAATTAGCAAGGGCAACTCACTTGCTGGGCCTTGAAATGGTGTGGTCTTTCATAGGACACAACCATTAACTTCTTAGGGACTAGATTTAGTCTGACCTTTTGCTTAAGGCACCTGGCACTGGAAACCCCAAAATACACAGGCTGTGGGGAATGTGTGCTCAGAGACCATTTCTACAGAAATTTCAGGACTATCTCCTCTGTGCCAACCAGTGAGTAATTGTTTCCCATCTTTTCTAACATAATAGCAGATACCAGATGAAGCAGCTCCAGGCAGCCACTTACACAAATTCGTGCATGGAAAGGTCAGTCTCTTTGAGGCAGCGTTACCTCCTACCCAGAGCTTCTTGAGGAAAAACACTGTGCAGAGAATGTGTATTGTAGGTTTTGTGTGTCTGCCTCTGTGATGCAGAGAAGGAACCACTCTGTGCTGTATTTATCAAGAGCCACCAAACACAGAAAGCAAAGTTAGTTCAGGTATCTGGCAAAGAAAACTTTTAATTTCCCCAGCATTTACATGCTTCTTATCCCTGTCAGAAAGCTATGGGAGAAGATGTGCCGCCATCTGACTCAAAGAGGGCTGGTTACCTTTGTACAAACACTTTGAGGAAGGAAATTCAGGGCTCCAACCACTGCACACAAGACACTGAGACTCTAAAGCAATTCCTCCAATGTAGGAATAGACACAGGTGGTGCTTACTTTATGCTGTCCTCCTGAATGTTTCCTTCGTTGGCACAGAAACATCAACAGGTTATTTGTTTAATATAAGGTTCATTTGCAATATCAGTGGTGATTCAAAGCTTCCATACAGTCTTGTTTCATTTAGGAAAAAAATATTGTTTAGGTTTAGCTATATTTTTCCCCATGAGTCATATATTTGAGGGTCTTCATGAAAATAGCATGAGCAACAGCAAATCTCTCAAACCAGGGAGAGGAAAGCAACTGAAGCATGAGCCTGTCGCAGCAACAAAATTTTGCTATGATGCTTTGTCAAACAATTCCGGAGTGTTAAGCCTTTCTTGAGAAAAGAAGGTCTATGGAAGTGTATTTTTAAAAGTGCCCATATACCTTCATGAAAGAAGCAATAAGCACACAAAGCAAGAACACGCACAACACATTTTCCTCATGCACTTGCACATGAATATGTCAGAGCTCCTGGGGAAAACTGTTACCAAGCCAACGACCTTCGTCCAAAAACACACAAAGTTACCTGCATTGTGACCATGCGATGGTTTCACTGAGAAGAGGGCAGGCTCCTCCAAGCTACCTGCTGTGCAAGGCTGAACACACAGACTCCGTTTTGTAGATCAGCTGACAGCTGAGGGGTGGAGGAACAAACTTCTGAGCCTCAAGTCCTTTCTCCAAAACATGTAGGAAGGAGCTCTGCCTGCATGGAAAGCTGCAGTTTTGGACATTCACCAACCAGCACACAAAAAAGGTACAGGATTTCCCTTTCTGTTATAACACAAAGGGACCTCAGCCAGGTGAAAAGTGACAATTACAAGAATGGCAAGCAGCTCTCGCACCCACGTTGTATTTGCAGCTAGCATACCAAAGGAGAAAAGCACAAGTCTGCTCCATGACAAGAGGGGATTAGCAATATCCACAAGATCACTTAATAAGCACCGCTGGTATTTTGCCAGCCTCGCTGCCTGCTTTCCAACCAACAGCCATGTTAACAGCTGCTCCCTGATTTCATAGTGCTGCTGGTGGCAGGAAGGGCAACTGGCAGAGCTTTTCCCTGGTTAGAAAGGTTGAGCATTGGTAAAGCTCTGACTCTCCTCTTTGCATAGCTGTGGTCAGACTAACAGATCATTTTCAGCCACCCATTAATATTTTATCTAAAAGATGTACAGCAGTCCTTTCCTAGTACACAAGCAGGCATTTTACAACTTGTGAAATAGCGGATGACTGAGAAAGTTGGGCTGAGAGCCAAGTGTTACAGAGATGCTGCTGGCCATGCTCTCCTGGCAAGATCAAGCAGCCTGAGCAACTTTGGAAGGGAGCTCTGGAAACCCAGGGGCCAGAACAAGTGTGTTTTCAATGGCTTAAAGACATTAAAAATACTAATAACCTCTTCTCTCCATGCTGACCTAAGAGAAATCTGTGAGTGGCAAGGCCTGGGTCTGGGGGCCTACTGTACCACTTCAGATCCTAACAGTATTGACAGAAACACACGAAGCCTTGACACAACTCCAGTCTGGGCTCAATATGTAGTATAAGCACACATCCAATTACTAGTTCATCTGGTAATGACTAATTCCTGGAAACTGGGAAGTCTAAGTAATAGGAGGATTAGAGAAGAAGGGAAAAAAATATACTGCATAGAAGAGATTTTCCTCAAACACCACGTGCCACCCATCCAGCACTTCTGCACAGCCAAGTCCCGTTACCGTAAAGGAGCAGTCCAGAGAAGCCGAGCCAAGCAAAGAGAAGCCAAGCAAAGCAAAAGGAGCTGGCAGCAGTGCTGACAGAGGCAGGTGAATCCCAGCGCTGTCAGCGCAATGCTGTGCTTCAGTCTGTGTTCTAAGAGCAAGTGCTAGGCTTGCACTAATTTTTCCTTTTTCCTTCCCCCCTCATCGCCTGGCCTGATTTGTTAAGCAGTGTCCTGCCCAGAAGGAGAATTAATGAGGTTTCATCTTTTCATTTTTTTTTTAATATTTTTTTTTGAGACAGGCTAAATTGCAAAGCTCAGCTGATCCCCTCCATCCTACCCACCTCTCCCCTTCCCCAGCTTAAGCAGCAGAGATGTGTGCCATCAGCCATTATCCTGTTAAGAGCCTGCGACTGCCACTATAAATACCCAGTATTCTAATGCTGGCATCGAGCTCCCAGAGAATAAACTACCTTGGTACCTTGATTGAAGAATGGGCTCATTAAGGTAACAAAGTGACAGTTTTGAGCAAGCTCCCTTTGCAGTTTCTAAATGCGTCTTCTCTGATGGGATTAAAGATGTGCTACCAACTGGGAAGAAAGAATGTCCTTAATGTCAGCTCTGCCTCTGGCTACATCATTAAGCAATAAGACATGACAGGCAGTACGCTGCCAGATTTTTTGCATGCTTAGGTATGCAGTGAGGTATAATGGTCAGAGCAAAGCGATTTTAGCCCCCAAGAGCTGTGGTCATTGCACCAGTACCTCTTACACACACACCCCAGCTAGCCAAGCCCAATGCATTTCCAAGGCAATAACACAAGGAAGCAGTCAGAGCACTTCTTATTTTATTTTTTCCTATATCCCTAATTAATTGGAAAAAAATAAGGAAAGCAAAAGATTTGCTCTCCCCCCATTTAAAATATTTCTAGTTCTTATATTTGGCTTTGTGCTACAGGTTCCTTCAGCAATGAAATATCAGTTACATGCTGAGATAGATTCTCTTTCATCAAATGTAAAGTAGGCTTCCTTGATAGAAATTACAGCCCATCCTGCTAGCCTCCCTTCTATAAAGATGTGCCTTTTAGGAACCAGGCAATGGAGAGAACCTGACTCATCCCACAGGCAAACTGCCTTACTCCTCTGAATGCCAGTTTGTTGTTAGACAGGATGAAGTACTCTTTGGGAAGAGGTCATTGTCAAAGAGAGCTATGTAAGAAGATAGATATGTATTTAGCAATAGCATATGATTGTCCTAAGATGAGAACCCTCTTGTCCAAGGATTTTTGGCCATAAGAAGCTGATAAACTTTCAAAGCTGTCAAATTACAGAAGATGAGGGGATTAATACCATCTGAAACAGATCGTTTTTAATGGAGCATTTATAAAGGCAGAACATATTGACATGGCAGACAGTGGGAACTTGCAAAGCCAACTTTATTTTGGTTTACTTTAGCTTTCTTTACAGAGTTACCGGTGCTACTCATTTTCCTCCTTGTCTCCTACATGCTTTCTGCTTATCTCATCTCACCCCTTCACTGTCTCCTTCCCTGGGGGACTCTTCTGAACCACCTCGACTCTGTACAGCTCACAGCACAGTGGGGCTCTGTTCTTGATTTGTCCATAGATATTACCAGAAGGAAATAAAATATAGCATCCTTGTTAGCACAGGATTTATTCCTGGAAGGCTCAGAGGTTTTCCCATCAAGCTGGAATTGTTTTAAAGGCTTCAGAAATGTTATTCTGCCAGCTTTTCCCCAACCCAGTAATAACTTATTAAATGAGACTGCAAATTTACTTTAATCATTGTTCCTTCCCCTCATCTCCTCTTTCTTACAGAGTTTCAGAGGAGTCATAAATTTGTTTTGCTCCTGTTTAAAGGCTTAACTTTGTTTTCTCCTTTCCTGACATCAGAAGTCCAGATAGGCACAACCAGCCTTCTGGAAATCATCTGAGATGAATATAACTCACTTGGGTCTGTAGAGAATAGAGCAGGTACACAGCTTGCATACGATAAGAAATACCCTCTGTGGGCAACCTACAGGTGAACCTGAACAGATGTGAAACAGTGTCCTCTGGCCACAGCTGTCCTCTCCCCTTTACAAAAAGATTACCTAGTATATCAAAGGGATTCCTTGAAGGCCCTGTGATAGAAAACAAAGAGAACACACACACACCCCAATAACAATCAGTCCTGAAGTAGTGTACAGATGTGTGGCCTATCTGAATATAAGGGCACATATGAGGACTCGGAAAACAGTACCTTACAAGAAGAAATACCTGGCATTCTAAGACTGCATGGCAGTTATGAATAGGGCAGCAGTTTTACAAATCTGTTAAAGCCTTGTTATCACAGCCCATCTCAGTGCTGTTAAAGACTGCCTACCAGAATGCAATCTAGGTGTAGCATTTGATGCGAGTGGACATCGAAGCATACAGCTGCTGGTGACTGTCACTACCATTACATCAGGAAGGCACCAGTCTCCAGATCAGGCTGGAAATTTCAAGAGACAGGACTATTTCATGACTTGCAACGCATCTGGACTGTGCTAGGAGACAGCCTTCTCCATTTACTCCCACAGGTGCTGGCAGACTTCAATGTAAAGGTCTTGTTCCATCTTTAGATTTCCTGTGCTCAGAAATTCAGGCTATGTGCAACTGGAGCTGGGCTGGAGCTCAGTTGGTTACAACTAAGCCTGGTAGTCAGGAACCACAGAGTTTTGACCAATGCTACCATGCTTGAACACACACATATAGGCTCATGCCTATATTCCAGGTTTAGACCCAATTGCACATGCATTAACTGGAATTCATTAAAAATAATTGACACAATTCTGAGATTTGTGTACTTCCCATTTCAAGCACATATACAAGGTCTCTTCATCTGAAGAAAGAAGAGAGAGGTCTCTTTGCTCAGACCCAGTCTCCAAACACAGAACTCTTCTGGGATCTCAGTGTGTCCAGGTGTCAAACTGCCAGACAACAGAGAAAGGTCTCCAACTGCTCTATTTTGCTGCCTGATGTCATGCTAGAACAGTGGTAGCAAAGACCAGACAATTATCTCAGAGACACTGACCAGGAATCCAGGGACATAATGAAGCATGTATCTGAAATATACACACATGAATAGATTTAAGCAATTTGAGATCCTTCACAATCCTTACTTTTCAGCATGTATTGCTTGTAACCAGCGCATGTTCTTCCCATCAGTGATTTCTCAACCAAGAAATGCAACTAAAAATACTAACTCCCACCATGTTGCAGGAGAACAGCACAGCCTTGGGCACCAGGAGCTTCCCCAGAACATCCCCTAGCAGATGGCGTACACTCAGTGAACCATGGATGGGAAAAGGAATCCCCAAGAGATGTGGTGACAGCAGAGATGCTGTGAAGGAGATTATTTCCATGTCCTCACAATCCATTTCCATACAGCTCTAGACTTTTCTCCCCATAGCGTTCAAGGCTTGAGCATCTTTAATGACTCACACTTCTGAGACTGGGATGAGGCAGGGAGGAATAAAAAGCACTTAGTAAGTTTGCAGAGAAATCTCTCAGACAAGGGCCTGCCCAATCTCTAGGATGTGAGTTGAACAGGACTAGTTCCAGAACAACATGTAGATGCACCAGCACTGTTATATGAACTGCAGCAAATAAATGTCTAACAGACAATTTTCTGCCTCCAGGACCCCTGCTGTTTACTCGCCTAGCTCTGTGCTCTGCAGCATAGACGTACCACCTGTCTCTGAATCCCCAGGCTCTGCACACCATGTTGCACCAAATAATGGTCATAAAGTACTTTTCAAGTATAAGATCATAAAGCAGAACCACAGCCACTGAAGAAAATTTTTTTTTTTTGCCCAGAAAACAGTAGCTGGACCACATCCAACAACCTAGCCATGGTAATGTTTGCTGCCTCTTTTCTCAGCTCCACCTTCTCACAGCTCCATGCACATGAGCACCAGAACCCCCGGGACACGAGATATGTGAGTGACCTGCTGGACAGCAGGATTGGGCTGACTCCAGTGCCTTCCAGGGCTCCCCAGCTCTGCCCATCTTGGCAATCTGCACAACACAAACACACACCAAGTTATTTCATAATTTAACAGATACAACAAAGCGGGAGGCAATCTGATAAGAAACAACATAGCTCTCAGGGTGAACAAAAGGGGCTTTCTCACGTTAGAAATGCCTGTGCTTTGGTTACTAGACCAGCTTTGTGAATTATAACTTTAAGATTTTCCACTGTAATCAAATGCTTAGGTGTTCCACAGCATCAGTAACCCCATCCGAAGTGAGACTTAGACAAATTAGAAAGAAGTTCTGACATTAAAAATGATACACTGCAGTGAGTCACTCTATTAGCAACCTTTGTGCAATGTTTGGTAGACAGAGAAGGGCTGTCCTATCTGGTAAGTGACTCACAAAATAAAAGAACGTAATACAGTAGTGATCAATCACAGAGGTGAATAAGCAGCAGTGGTTTTGTCCAGAGGCTGAGTAACATACTCAGCTACACATCAATGATCCATGCTCCTGCTTCTTTCCACTCATTTAACTGAGTGCTACATTGCCTAAGCTCATTGTATCATGCAGTGCCTTATCTAAAAGGTGGAGATCAAAGGACAGAAGGAGAGGACTTCAGACAGTCCACATAACTCTTCTTGCCAAACCCCTTTGCCTGACTCCAGACAACCCTGCAGAAGATCACAGAAACAGAATTGTACAAATTCCACCTGAGCAGAAACTACTGGCAAAGTCAATAAAAAATAAATTTAACACAAAGTAGCAGCTCCTATCATCTCTTCTAAGAGATAATGGACAGAAAGTCTGTCCTTTCACTTACTTGTGGATTCCCAGCCCTATCCACATCCCAAAGTTCATAATTTCCTCAGCTGTGCTGAATGCTGAAGCATTCACTGTCTTCTTCAGCTCAGAGATCCGGTCAGAGCCCAGCTTCCACAAACTGACCAGCAACAGGGCCAAGTCAGTTTTGCTACCATAGAAGAATTAGGTACTCTCTGCTGGGGAGGGAATATGCTTTTACCTATTAAATGCTGTTGCACAGTGGATTGGAAAGATGCTGTCAAAATAGAAGTTACATCAAGTAGAATGTAGTAACTGCAGCCATTCACCATCACAGCAGGTAAAGCATAGTCAAGAAGTCAATGTTGATGGGCGTCCTGCCAAGAACCTGTTGTTTGGGTCCCCACAAGCCATGCTGCTTGCTGCCCTGGCACCTGCTCTGTGAAAGCTCTTCTGAAAGAAAGACATTGAGAAACACACCTCATAACTGGAAAGGAGAGAGGTGGCTGGGCAGGTGGGCACTGCTTTGAGAAATTGACAGATTCCTTTCATGGTGCTCACACACTGCAGGTATTTAACGGCTCCATGCAACATAGGAAGACTCACCCAAGGAAAAGGTGAAATCAAAGATTTTTACCTATTTCTTTGGTCTCTCCTAAAGGAAAACTCACCATTATATACCACATGAAAGCAACATCCAAACACACACAAAAAAAAGAATTTCAGGACCCAGAGCCAAATTCTTTAGCTCTGAAAGGCTGACTCTTCAACCTTAGTAATTTTTTTTCTTCCTTTTAAGCCATGCAAATACAGATAAAATATCCTAACAATACTTATAAAACCTTTGCAATGCTTGTGTCTGGGGTGATCACATTATTCATACATTAGCTAGCTGTAAGTGAATAGTGCAGCTCATTCAACTGATTTCTTATTCAACTTTCATACAGGACTACATAATGGCACAGTGTGTCGTAAACCCTCTAGAATACTATTTTAATGTCTTCCCCAAATATTTCTAACCTAGCATTACAACAGTTTCCTACAACTATAGAGCTAAATTTCTTGGAATGCATGAACCCAAATGTGCTGAACTCAGAAAAAGTCTGAAGATAACCTAAGAAGCAAGAAAAAGCCTTTTTTCACACTTAAAGACTGCATTCACTTCAGAATTTCCAAGGATAATGATGTTTTCTCCCTTCAGTAGAACACGACAGCCAGACCCAGCTATGGTGATGCTGTAATGCATAACATCTGATGTTGTAGTGGGGTATCCTGGGGGAGACACCTTGAGGTCTCTTCCATCCCATTTTCCACCCTCTCCATCCCCTAAATCCATTCTGGTGTGAAGGTGTAGGATAAGGGTTTATTAAGCTTTTTTTTTTTTTTTTTTTTTAATTCTAACACTACAGAGCAATACCTTAGTTTTGAAGTTAGCCAGTTAGCCCAAGCTCTTCCACTGCACATCAGTGCCTTCAATCTGTTAATTAGACAAAAAAAAAAAAAGTCTCCTTTACCTGGACACTCGCACTTTGGTAGACACCTGAGCTACCTTTAAAGAGTTGAAAGAGTTGCACAAAAGGCAGTTCCAAATGAGGTTCCTGTCTATCTCAAGAACCGTCAGCAGTACATGCTCCAGACAACATCTCAAAGACAGGCAAAAGTCTGGATTCCAAAAGAACTGCCATGACCCAATTTTATTTCAACCTTCAAGAAACCCCAGCATGCACATTATTTCTACATTTTGACTTAATTCAGAGAAATCCACCCCTTCATTTCCAACTGAAGTTTATAGGTCAGAGCAGTTTCATCTTGTGGCCACATCCTTGAGGATGCTGTGATATAATCTCCTTGCCAAGTGATGATCTGAGTTCAAAAGTTGTTGGCCTACAGGCAGTATTTCCATTACTAGAGCACGGAAGGAGTCACATCTATATAACACTACAACCTCTCCTGGGCCTGTATTGCTCTAACCCAGATTACGTGCAGCCTTTGAAACCAATCAAATTATCTTCTGACTTTTCTCAACATAATAGAATCAAGTCCCAGAGACTTTCAGCAGGCCAAGTCTGAAGAACACCTGTGTCATCTTAGGATCTCCAGAGTTTAACTATTCAAACCACATTTTTTTCAGCTCTTATGTAGTAGCAGCACATTTGCTCCATCACAAAACTCGAGTACACCATTCAGTCAATTATTTTAGGATACTGAAGCAGGTTAACAGAAAGTATACATTAGCATATCATCTTCAGGTAGAAATTCTCTTTTATTCAATTTTTGTGGGCAACTGTCTGCAAAATTATTAAGCCCCCTTCCCTTCCAATTCTTTCAGCTAAAAACAAGATCATTTGGATGCTGCATGGCATTAGTCTGAACAGCAATAATCCCAAATGAGGTTAGCATAATACCCCCAAAAGAAGAGTCAGACCAGTTATGTATCAACTGCTCTTTCAGCTAACTAAAAGTAAAGGCTTACTAAAGGTAAGCCAACTGGTCTTTAATGCTTTGGTTGTAATAATTCTGCCTTCAAAAGATCATTAAACTACAAGGAAGAGCACAGGATACTTCAGTGTAATGTTGTAGTAGGAATCCTTTCATCTTTTACCTAACGCAGGCAACATAATCATTAGAATGCAGTTGCACTTCAAAAAAATGGCTTAAAGAAAATCTTTAAAACGTTAGCGACCTCAACACAAGTGTACAAAATTTACAGGAAAAACTTCAGTTAAAGAAGTTTTTGCTTAGCCAACCCCAAAAGATCCCAAATTTACAGCCAAATCCACCATCACTTCATCAAACACTTAGTTCCTTATACCTCAGATCTTACAATAAATGTTCATAATTGCTTTTAATTTTTTTCAAGAATTTAATAGTGAAAATAAGCATCAAAGTCTGAAGACCAGTCTGAATGTGTTTTAGCAATTTAGTTCCCACTAAAGGAAGATAAAATACAGAGAGGAATTTGAGTCTGTACATCTCCAAAATAATCTGCCATCATTTACAAACTATCGTTACCTTGGTCGTAGACTTCAAAGGACTTCTGGAGTTTTCACCAGATTTTGAGTTGCTGCTTTATTCTAATTCATTAGATAGGATGATACCTTTGAGTCATCTAAAAAGTCAAACAGACAGAAAGAAAAGGTGAATTTCAGCTCTCTACAAGTGTGATTGTTGAACATTTTCAGCTGGTCTTATTACCTCGTAGCCTAAGCCAACTAATTGCTTTGAGTCAGCTGAACAGTAATTGGTTTGTTGTCCATAGCTGTGGATCAATGCTGTAGCATTGTATTGATAATACAATAAAAGCCTATGAAATCCATGGCCTTATTGTGGTAAAAAGTACCATTGAAACAGATACTTGCTTCCATTATATATTATTTTTTTTAATATATTTTTTCTTTCTTACATCATTGTAAGTGCATTAAAAATACTTAGTAAGCTGCAGCAGAGTCAACGAGCAGAAACTGAGCAATGGTTCCCTTCCAGGCAGTGATTTTTAGAAAACACTTCTTCTAAAGTTTATCTACTGAAAAGTCTCAAAGACACTGTAGTTTCTTTGTCTGAAATCTTGTATTTAAGGGATTCCATCACTATTTTGTTTCTAATTTAAGACAACAGCCAAAGTTACAGAAGACAGAACAGCTCTCCGCAGATTGTTTACCAAGAAAACAGAGGCTTCCATAAGCACTTGTATGGAGCCATGTCTGAGTCTGAGCTGTACTCCAGGTGGACATTGTTACTAGAGAGCCTTCTCTGGTGAAGGAGGTGAAACTTTTCCAGATGATGCTAAGTCTTGATTTTGCCATGAGCAGCAATTACAGACTGTGGTTACAGGGCTGAGCATTGCCCTCATCAGGGTGTCAGGAGCATTTCTCTCTGTGCACACAGGTGAGGGAGGAAAACCCATGGAGAAGATGTGCCTCAGCTCCATGAGATATCTCTCACCTTGCATTCAGCAGAAAACTCCAATGAAAAAACACTTCTGGCCTTAATGCACTTAATACACAGGCTGCATCTCCTTGGCAAGAGGTTAAATTGCCCAAAAAGGGGGCTGAAGCACATTTATCTCACAACCATGCTTTGTCCTGAAAAGGCAACATCAATTCTAGCAGAGTATTTCTCAGATACAGATAACTTGTGTCAGAAAGAGCTTCAGGTATCTGTAAGGCTGCGGGGCCATGGCCTTTGCCTTAGAGTTTCCTGTAAATTTAGCTAGAAGAAGGCTCTGTTGTTTTATCGTTCTCAAGATACAGGAATGCCTGGGCTCCTTTCATGGCTGACAAGGACTTGCTTCTGTAATAAACAAGATTTCCAAACCCTCCTGCATCACCTGATATGAAACCCTTCTTGTCTCTGCACTCCTCCTGACCCCTGTTAGCTTGCTGCAGTAGGACCATACCCATGACAAGAAACCAGGATTTATTCCTCCCAGCACTGCCACCCTTTCTGCTCAGGACAGCAGCACAAAGCACACAGAAAGCACTCCCTTGTTGGTGATCAGTTTTGCATTCCCCAGTGCTAACAAAACACAGTCTGAGCACACCCACCTGGAGCTGGCCTCCAAAAGAGAGAGCCTGGAAAGCACTGAGCTATATAATGAAACCTTGGCATATCCTGTTCACACCTGGCACCTGCTCCAAGAGCAAGGACTCAAGGTCTCTAAATCCCCTGCCTGAGGTGATTAATTAGGTGATTATTCACACACAAAGCTTAATCCCCAAGCCATGGAGACCTGTGGGAGTTCACTGACTAACGACTGGCAAGTTGCTACCCAGAGCGTCCCCAGAGATTAATTATATACCAGATCTGCTCAGATTATAGACCTGATTTACAACACTGCTTGGTATTAAGCATGCCTAACACTTTCTATTATACAGTTTAACGTTGAGTGTTTGTGCTAAGTATTTACATGGCTACTTCAGGAGGCATCTTTGGAGAGCATTTAAAGTCAGGCATGTTAGTGGCTTTCATGGGGTGAGAAAAAAAAAAATTAAAATTAAAATAAAATAAAATAAAATAAAATAAAATAAAATAAAATAAAATAAAATAAAATAAAATAAAATAAAATAAAATAAAATACTGCAAAGATATTGGCTTGGTCTTTGGTGCCAGATCTGAGGCGTGTTTGTGTAGGATTAAGCTTTTATTTGAAGACCTCTAGCACACCCATGCTGTGGGATGTCAGCAACTAGAAAGCAGCCAGCTTTCTCCATAAGTGTGTTCTTTGCATCACTACGTGAAGATCCACATTTGTGATTTTGGGCATTTCATCTGCTACAATATCCCAATGACCCTGTTCTCAGGTAGTCCTCTTGGTAACTCCCTGCTGGATCTGTGCATGCTGGAGGAAGCACCTCCTCCTCTTTCAATGCAAAGTGACATAGAAGTGAAGGGAAAAATTGACTCCAACCTCTCTACTCAGGAAAAGCCTTATTTTGTCAGTAGCCATCCCCTTCCACCTGTGGAAGAATAGTGAAGAAGACACAAGCAGATGTTTCATGCTTGTATCAGTACCCATGCCTCACATAAGTGCTGTCCTTCTGCCAGCACAGCATGGCAGGAATGAAGTGTTGTCTGTGCAGCCCAAGGCAACCCATCAGGTCAATGCCACCTCCTGCCACATGGATGTGGAAGGCATGAACATCAGGAGATGATCCACAGCAGTAAGCCTCCTCTGCATGGGTTAGCCTCCGGGTCCAGAAACCACAGTACGAGCCCTCATCAGACACTCTGAAGGAGTTTCACTTCTTGACTTGCCCAAATCAATACACCAGGAGCAGGATCAAGGCATTTGCTGGACTGTAACAGAAATTTGGGCATGGCAGAATGGGTCCACACTGCCTGGCGATTCTGTTTCAGGCTATGCTTGGCTTGTGTCCACGTCGGTGCACAAAATACTTGCAAAGAGAGAAGAGCCCAAGCTGCTAGTGTGATCCATTAGGCTGAGACTTGTAAGCAAGTATTGCCACAAGACTATTCGGAAAGGTAAGATAACATCTGTAGCACAGAGGCTGTTTCACTGATAATGTGGATTACAGACTGCGGTGCAGTCGTCTTATCACTTAGAAGTTATGAGTCTGCAGAAGGGAGCAGTCTGAAAAGCCAGACCTATACGTCAGGGATTTCCCCAATAATAGGATTACTCATCAAAACAGCACAAAGGAGCTGAGCTGAATATCTTCTCCCAGGCAGGAAAAAAAGTGACACAGAGTTAGTGAGCATGCACAGGTTCAAAACTGCAGCTTCATTAAAGCCATGTCTTCCAGTTTCCTGGGGATCTGGATTTCCTCAGGCCTCTGCTGTGCTCTTTAACCACAGCCACCACCTCTGAAACGCTAATGAAGGTGAGGGGGACATCCAGGGGACAGAGCAGTGTTCACAAACAAGGCATCATCCATCTGTGGTGCAAGGCAGAGATAAACGTCTTCATGTAGAAGACGATTTATTCCATGAAAAGGACTCATTGAGCTGTATGGAATGGCTGTATTGAAAAAAAATCCTGCCACCAGTCCCAAAAGGTGTCACAAGCCAAAGCATACTCAACTTACTAAACAGAAGAGGCCACTCCACACAGAGCTATGGTTATACATACAGTCCACATCAAATGCAGCAGGCAAATATAAGGGCCCTACATTTCTTTGATCTTCTAAATTGAACATAAACTCCTTCAGTCAGGAAGGACAGGTTCCCAGAAATACACTGCAACATCAACATCACTCACTAAAGTGTTTTACATCTTCTGGTATTGGTTTTTGTCCTCTGTTGATGGCAGATCACAGGAATGGGCAGGCCACCCTTCTCATCCAGTAACAGGAGCAAGTCAGCAAATTAGAAATTGGATTTGGGGGAAGCTGGCTCTATTGGATTGTCTTGCTGATAGTCTCCCTGGCTTCAAAGCTCACATCTGTCTCGTGAGCTGGGGGACGGTTTCTAACTTTAGTTGACCCAAATTACTCACAGCCTTTCTATGTAGCACGCAGCAAAGCTGAATCTGTGCATTGTGTCTTTGATCACTGCACCACTTAAATAGGCTGACCTGCACGTCTGTGCAAAAACAGCTTTACAGGCGAACACGTTGGTGATTCAGCTGTCCCTAACACAATTATTCTCTGATTTGGAGTGGCAGAGGAGGAAGATGAGCACAAAACTAGTTTTATTTGTTTGTTTGTTTGCAAGATGCTGAGTTTCTGTGCATTCCTATCACATCTAAGAGCAATTCCTCACCTAAAGGAAGAATTGTCCAGACCATATTCTGTTTTTCCATAAGATGGTCCTGTAGGTAGCAGAAAGAAGCTTTCCTGAAGTCTTAGTTTATATATACACATGCCCCGCAGTCTACCCCAGCCCTTGACTAACCGTTAACTTCATCAGGGACAGGAGACTGGGCCATTTTTCCTTTGTATCCTAAAATATTTCCTAAAATCTCTCTGTCTCTTATTCCCTCAGCAACCATGCACACTCTGTAAATGCCAAATCAACATTAAGTTACATACAAAAAAAGATGGTTAGGATTAGAGAATTTATGCTGGGAGTCAGGATTTTAGTATATGCATTAGGTGTATACTGCAGTTGTACATGTATTCTTGCTGGGCAGAGCAAATGTAACTCTTCTTCAGTACTGGATGATTTTGGGTCATTATACTTGCAACACCACTAACTTAGCTGTAATGGTAGGAAGATAACTGTAAAATTCTTGGGAGGACTTGGGACTTTCACTTTTCTTATTCCAAAGAAAAGTGAAACTCAAGCAAAAAAAAAAATACAGCATCTGAGAAAAGGGTAGGGCCATTTTTAACCACCACAAATTAGCAGAATATGGCACCATTTGAGCTCCCGCCTATTCATAGATGTGACCCTTCTTAAAAGTAAGAACAGGGAGAAGAGGTGTTTTGGATTTTTGTTAAAAAAAAAAAAAAAAAAAGGAAAAATTAAAAACCCTTAAACAGCAGGATATTATGTACCTGCTATTAAATTCCATCTGGCACTAACCCTTCAGGCAAGTAACAAGCCAAGACGACCATTTTTGGGAGGGGAAAAAAAAAGAAAGAAAGAAAGAAAAAAAAAAAAAAAAAAGACTGATTTTAGCAGAAGCTGTAGAAGCCAAATTTGTTTGAACTGTCTCTGCACATCTTTACATCATGCACTTGCAATTTTTAAAACTATTTTAAAACAGGGTGGTAAACGTGTTAAATAGGTCACTCCCTGTGTCCAGCGCAGAGATAAGAGGCTGTTTATATCTCCAACTGCAGAACTTTGGCTCTCGAGCTCAACTGGTAACTGCTTACACGGCAGGTCTCCAGTGCTTGCCCAGAAGGCAAATGCTACAGTCAGAGGAAATAAATAAATCTGACTGCTCTTGTGTTTAGTCCTGCTGCAGCACACCAATACTGCTATATATGGCAGCCCTGCAGCTCTGGCACAGGGACCATGGAGGAGCACGTGATGAGTTGGAGAAGCAGTCCAAAAAAGTTAATGCATCAGACAAAGAGGCAGACTGGGTGGTTTTGCAAGAGTAAGCTGGGAGAAAGAAGGTGACATTTCTGCTGAAGAGGACTTGGGTCCTGCTGCTGCTCACAGACATGACACATCGTGACACATTTTGACTCAACTTGGGGTAGAAACAGCCTTAGTATCCACCAAATAAAATATTCAGGCAAATGCATGTGATCAAGGAGCAAGCAGGAACTGAACAAATGCTGCCCTGAGTCTGCCTCCCCTTGTCCCTGAGGAGACAAGAGGGACGTCGTATCACTGATATCACAGCCCAGGCTGTGACATGGTAAAGACTTCAGGTGACCCAAGGTCACAGGATTTTCTCTACATTATGGTTTTATAACACAGGGGAGTGAGGCAAATGAATCCAAATGTGCTCTGACACTGTTTTGCAGGACACGTGTCCTTCTCCCTTGGGGAGCCACAGGAGTTTTTGATGGGAGATGCAGGGAAAATGCTCAAGGGGTTGGGCCTCTACCTGCAGGCTACAAGGAACTGCTCCAGGGTGGTTTGGCCCCTCTGGGCCTCAGAGAGCCTTGGAGGTAAAGCACAGCCTCTCAACAAGCAGGCAGTGTGCCCACACTGTGTGCATCCTGCCAGTGCCACCAGAGCAGGGACGGCCAGAGCTTCAACACTGCTGAGGTGCCAAAGAGTAGTGCTGGAGCTCCTCCAGTGCAAGTGGTAATTCAGTTCAATTAAGCGTAGGTAAACTCCATTTAGGCTGAATTTCCCCCTGAGCAGTGGTTCTGTAAGAGCCAGAGGGAGTGAGGGAGACCTTTCCAAGGTCTGAGGCCTGCCTGCTGAGAAACAGATTTACAGCTCCGGCTTCTGCAGTCTGGAGAGAATAAAAAAAGATGGGAAGAGGGGGAGGGAAGAGCTTTCCAACATGTGAAAGATAATAGGAAAATGAAGATTGTAAAACTCTTCTATCTACTGGGAATAGACTAATAGGCTTAAAGTGCATTAAGGCCTAATGCAGGCCTCCCTAGGGACAGCTTTCACGTGCTCAGGAAAATGAAGGCACTGGGATACACCACCTGGAGAAGGCAGTGGAGCCTCCACCTTCTGCATGAGCAATGAGTCAAATGCTGTTGAGCCCAAGATAAGGGATTAGATTAGATTAGATGTGTAGAGTCCCATATACCGTTCCCAAGAGCTGTATTTCATAACAG